ATGGCAAGCACTTACCTTGGTTAGAGTTATGTGTAGCTATGGTTACATTTCTGGTTTGGCTATGGTATTGTCTGAGCCTTAGTAAAGAGATTTTACGCACTGAACATGTTTGAAAAATGAGTATTGTGAACAGGTATTTGGATAATCGAGATTTTGGTATAGAAAAATTATGATTATTGTTAATGTTACCCGTGAGGGTAATGCGTGAGCACGATTGAGACTTGGATCAATGATGTATGTATATTTCAAAATAAGGGGTAAGATGGTAATATTGCACCCTTGGGAATTTGTTACTTGCTTATTGAGACAACAGTAAGTTGTTGGTATTGCGGGCTGCAGACCGTAATATCAATGACTTATTCGTTGGGTTCGTTAAGCAAATAGACAAGTAAGTCATCCTATGTTAGCATTTGTATTTACTTATTTAGTTAGTTATTTATTTTCTGGGCTCGACCCAAAGATACTACATGTTCATTTTCGGGGTATGTAACACAATGAGCGCGTAGGTGAAAAATAGTCTATGTTTAGCTTCAATTTTAGTACAATAACTTTATGTTATTATATACGTATATAGACATTTTCCTATCTTCTGGAGTACATTATGTTTAGCAAATGATTTCAAAATTTCAGGGACGCAGTTTTTTTAAGGTGGGTAAATTGTGACAACCCGTCCTTAAAATTCGTTTTTATTTATTTTAATTGATGGAATTGATGAAAATGTCCTAGAGGCAAGGATTTTGACTTCTGTTGACCATCATCTAGAAGAACGTATGATTTATTCTTTTGGCGTATTTGTGTAATACTTGTTCGTACGAACGCATAGGCGAAAGCCGTTTACGAGTCTGGATTCTAACGGTATAGTTACAGACATTTGAAGTTGTTTCACTAAATTATAGATTTAAAGGAAAATAAACTCCCACTTGTGGGAAAGAGGCCCAATTAGATTTAAAAAGGTTTAAGGGGACCAATCAGATTAAAGGAACAAAGGACCAATCATAATTTGAGAAAAAAGGGCTGCAGCCAATCAAAAAGGGAAAGCTCAGCCTTCCGGTTGCATGTGCACTAGTGCACCAACCCGACTCTATTCCGGCAATTTAGGCCATTCTTCCCGTCAAACCACCATCATCCACCACCTGTAACCTCTTCCACAACCACTCCTCTACCATTTCCACCCAAGATTGAAGGGTTTTAGGTCCCATTTGGTGTAGGACTCCGCCGGAGCACTAGAGGTGCTCAACAGCAATTCCTCCATTACGGCGAGTTCCACCACCTAAAACTACCCTTAATCTTCCCTTGGACCCAGGAACAAGACCCAACCAATGGTAGAGACGTTGGAACACCGAGGAAAGATAATCGAAGTTCACCCATTTTAGGGTTCCGGTGAGTTTGAGAGAAATTGGAGTCTTTCCCGACCAAATTGGACTTGGTCACAAGTATAAAATTTGCTCTACTCCTTGAGATCTTCATTTTTGTAAAATTTGAGAATTTTTGGAGATAATTGAATTTTTTGGCGAATCAGGGCGGCCGACCGCCGTGTGCGGCAAGGCGTGAAGGCGACGCATGAGCCGAGTCACCTCCTGACCTTTCTAAGCTAAGTTTGACATCCCAATTCCATAGGTGAAGTCCGATTGATGAAATCTCATCGTTCGAGCATAGTTTTGATAAAGACCGCTACATGAACATTATATGAACTGACGATTCGACCGTTGAATCGTCACCAAACTTTAATACGTTATAGTATGTAATATTTGAGAATATTAGAAATTTACAGATTGGGAATCTAATGTATGAATCTTCCCGAATTGGATTTGTAAGTGTGTAAAATAAAACGTTGACCGCCACTTGAATTGGCATTGAGCGGAGATCCAACCGTTGGATCGTATTGAAACTTTAGTATGAGGTTTTAGAAGCAAAATGTGGATCTTTAGAAATTACGGATCGGAAATCTGAGATGCGGATCTTTCGGATTGAGTTACGTAGGGTTGTAGACCCTACCGTTGATCTTTGATCAACGGTTGACTTTTGGTCAATGAGTCTCAAATCATTCTAAAACGTCATTGGGATGTGTTTTATGTAAGTTATGTGTTCTACTAATAAGAGTTCTGAGACATGACTGAATAATTATTCTAGGTGAGGATCGTTCGTGATGCCTCGATATTCGTGCTATGGAGTCGTAGCGCGTACCTCAGGTGAATGGGTCTTTTCCTTTTATCGTATGTATATCATTGATAGTTCCACAAAACGCTTTTTAATTGATTTATGCTTTTTATGCCATGTCATATATATATTTGTATATTCTAAAATACTATGATATGATTGAGTTTTAGATTGCATTATGGCATAACCATATGCATATTACCTACATATAATTGTTGTGAATGCCTTGAAGTGCTAAGGTGAACGCGGGACGTACAAGTTCATGTGAATTTATAATATTATTTGAAATGATTAAGTTAGGGTTTGACTATATTAATGTTTTGGGCAACTCCGACATTGTCGTACAAGTTGCAATAATAGGCAACTCCGACATTGTCGTACAGGTTGCCTATGGGTCGTATAGGTTGCCTTAGGCAACTCCGACTCAGGTGTTATCTTGGATTAATTTATGAGTCGTACAAGTTGCTTTAGGCAACTCTGACTCTGGTGTTATCATAGATTGATTTATGAGTCGTACAGGTTGCGTTAGGCAACTCCTACTCGTGGGTTACCATAGATTGATGAGTACTTGATTTATATTGTAGTTGCTGATATGTAGTGATTTGGAATATTCTTGTATTTACTATTGATTTATATTTGATTTCATACTTATATGTAGTATGATTTCTTGGAACCTATACAGGTATTACAGCGAATGATTATATCATTTAAAAGGTCTTTATTAAAGCTTTATATTCAGGCCCACTCACTATTGTTTTTATCCCTCCAGGTTCTAGTAGCAGAGTTTTCGTATCGATGAGGATTCGTGGCAAGTCTTGGTATTGAAGATTACCTTCAACGGTATGATTTTCAATCCACTCTACTGTACTTTACTTATGATCTGACGTCACGTGTGAAATGAGGTCATTCCCGCTCGCAGCGCACTCTCGTGTTAGGTTTAAATTTATTCACATATTCCACATCACCACACTTTATGGCTTCATCACCTTACAGGTGTCGGCCAACACATCTTAATTCGGAGTCCTAGTGGACAATCCGGATCGGGATGTGTCACATAATTTATCTACTTGTAAGCCTAAAGTTTTTTGGTTTCCTTCTCTCGATACAAAATAAATTAGTTTTTCCATGTTTCTAAATTATTGAGTTTGAAGTGCTTTTCTAAATATAATTTTATCGATGTCTTACGTGTAAAAATAAATATTTTTATATATATAAAGTGAGCACACATTTTTTGACGTCGTCCCGAGCCTCAAAAATCTCTGGACCAACGCTGCCTTTCATTGTCCAGCACCAAAAACCCTTCTTTTATTTTTTGGGCTTACCAATGTCTAATAAACTTGATTCTTGGACGTACAGAAAGAACAAAGAATCGTCCAAAAAAGAGAAAATAAATAAATAAGATGACATTGTCTAATAAGCTTTTATATTTCGGAATTTTTTTATTATTAGGGCAAACATATAATGATCCAAATTTAACGACTAAAAATCTCATAATATAAAGTACCGTGAAGTATAATAGAATTTTTTAGATAAGATGTTGAATAACACAAGCTATCCTCTTTGCCCAAAAATCTACCCGCCAAAAGCCCCGGAGTATAAGATACGTGTGGCATAATAGAATTTTCGAATAAGATGTTCAACCATACACAAGCTACCCAGAGTTGTCGAATGTCGATTCCAACCTTCCCATTTCAAAGTTATTTACCAAATGAATTCAAATTGTATAGCTCTAAGAACATGAAACAGGATTTCCGGTCTGCAGTACCAAAACATGCAAGCTCACTGCCAAACTAGGCTATAAAAACAGGCAGAATAATGTGGCGTAGAAAGAAATAAACCAGGGACAAATTCTGGAAAATGATTTTCTTTTGAGCCAGTCCATGAATCCAGCTGATTACTTACAGAGCAAGCAACAAATATGTGTATGTAATTGACAGAAAATTAACAAGATCGGGATTGATCGATTGACAGATAAGTAACTAGAAGGTTATGAATTCACCCCTTCCTAAATATTCACATTTCAAGATCCGCAACCGGGATGGAAATCACCGAAAGAAAAAGAAGAGAGGAAGACTCATAAAAATCATATGGCCAAAGATGTCATAGCACTTACAAATCCAAGTGCAAGAATGTGACGATTAGCAACACGGGATAAGAACGCGGCTGCGTGAACACTAACCTGGCACAGGAACTGCCCCTCCGGAACTTAAACAGATGACATTGTGAACTCACTGCCACAATGGGATAGAGGGATATAAGGCAGGCAAGTTGAGTACACACTAAAACAGCATCAACCCTGTCATCAACTCTAATCATCAACGTTCAATCGAAACTCTACCTTATCCCGCTAAGCCACACTGAACGCTGCAGACTTTGCAGATGCAGAACCGATCTCGCACATTATTAAAGTTTTCAGCCCGACTTAATAACTTCAAACTAACTTAAGCACCCCTCAAACCGCTCAAGGTAGAGAAAACAAACAAATGATTATCCAACAATCTCATACCTATATATGATCAATCGATTTGACGACAAAAAATAATGCAGGATTAATCAAAAAAAAACTTAAAAACAATGAGCTATGACATACCAAATCAAATCATAACAAGTTAGGAGAAAAAAAAAAAAAACTTTGATGATGGTGCAGACGTGTGTCAGTTAAGTAATGTGCTTGCATCTTTGCACCCAAGTTCGACTCTCCCTCCGCGTAATAATAGTTTAGAATATTGATTTATAAGAAAATAAATGGAGGATGTCTTCTCTTTCTAGACTTTGGATCGTCTTTATAGGTTAACTTAAATCACACTCAGAATCCCAAAACGATGAATGATCGAACCCGACAATTGCAATAATACGTCTATCATTGAAATCTGACGTGGGAATCCAGAATCACAGGCAGTTGGTATACAGGTGATTACAGAAAATGCTGACTGTTTTTAAAATTGTTACTATGAGTGAGTATGGAGTCGGTTACTGTTGTCACGCTCTCACCAGATCCTCCCCTTCCCTCCAATCCGACGAGCCAATTCAAAATCCTTCTTCACTGAGGATACAAAAATAAATGAAACAGGTTTGTTAACAATTATATTGTACAATAATGGCACAAACTATCAAAGACTAACTGACACTTGAAGTCAGTATAAGATGAAACAGTTAGCTGAAACGCAGAAAGAGTTTGACATGTTTTAGGACAATCATAATGTCTTAACAGACGGTTAATCCAAGGACACCGAAAATGTAGTAATGCATCTAAGGACAACCCTTTTGAGTTCGTCGAAGTCCACTACCCACAATTTAAGTTCCTCTAGTACCAAATATTTATTGGATTGGATATAATCTATATTTTTGAAAAGCAAACAGAATAATCTAAAAGATGCAATTTTTTTCATGGTTTAGGTGTTATCTTATCTCACTACAAGCATCTCAGTCACAGCTTGTAAATTTACATAGCATTAGGGAGAAATAACAATTAATTAAGCAGATATTGGATCTCAAGTTTACTTACTAAGAGTGACTCGCTTTGCATGAATTGCACGGAGGTTGGAATCTTCAAACAACTGAATTACATACTCCTCTGCTGCCTGCAAAAGAACAAACTACCAATTTGTCTCAAATAATTCATAGTACCTACTTCAATTTACTGAAATTTAGAGGATTTCTATATTATGGTTAGATGGTGTGTGTGGTTTGGGATAATGAGACAAAGTTCCTACATCCAAATCCAACCAGTTTGTTCAATAGGCTTTATTTGTTGAGTTGATTGGGTAATGAGGTAGAAGTTAGAACAGTAGTGGTGGTAACGGGAAAATCATCATGGATCTTGGGTTGGCACAGCAGTGCCATTGTTTAATCAAAGCATACAAGAAGCATCCAATGCACTTCCACAGATGATGATGAGGATACCTATGGCATTGGCATCACTCATCCAAGTTTCCAACCGACATATTTGAACAGATGGATAAGCAAAGATTACACTCCAACTCTCTGAAATTGGAATGCACAAATTCACTAGTTTATCAAACAGATTGAAAATGACGTAGAGGAAGAAAAGTAGCATTTGCATGGTTAATCTGTTACATACCACTAAATTCACTTGCCATAGTTATCCACCTCTTGACTTGCTAGTAAAGCATCAGGCGTCCAACGCTTAGGCTCTCTAGACACAGAGTTGGTGATCTCTCTTACCTACAAGGAACGAAAAGATTGTCAACATTGTGTGATCAAACCTCACTAGCACAACTAGTGCAAAAATCCAAATAAATATTATCACCGTGCGCAAATCAAGCAAAAACAAAGCATATTCTTTTTCAAAATTCAATGCTAGTCTAACTAACAAAAGCTTACTTAACCCTGAGATTGCAAAGATGTAAAGGTCAACTTGTTTATACAATACGAAATGAGTAAATCAACTCGACATCAATACACATACATCCATTTTTAGAGAGAGAGAGATACCAGCTTGCGCGGGAGTAGATTTCTTCACTTTTCTTCCGGCGGTGTGTTTGATTCTCGCCATTGAAGTTCGAGAGAGAAGGAGGTTCGAGAGAGAAGGAGGAGGAGGGAGCTTCTTCGCTGCTGTGGGAAGCGACGTCGTTTGGTTTTGCTGGTTGTTTCAAACTGTTACAGATTCGGTGAGCCGTCGTGGGTCTCCGACCACTAATTTCAGTTACTTAAATTTAAAGTGAAAAACTCCCGCTCAAAACTCTGTCGTTTCGTATCCGGTGAGAAATAAAGCGGCGCCGGACAAACTATTTGTGGAGCACTAATTTAAGAGGAAAAATATATTTTGCCAACTCGGCAAAATCGTCTCCAACGGGTAACATTTATGGCGCATTTATGTAACGGTAATAAAAATAGAAGAAATTGAATTGAGAAGGAGTTAGAATGAGGAGAAATCAGAATCCGATTGTTGTTGAAGCTATTTACTTAAATGTTCTAGAATCGAAATAGAATTCCATAAAACTGTTTACTAATTTAGCAGAATTGGAATATAAGCCGATTATTAAAATGTCTTTGTCCCAAATCAAATATTTTATATACTTTGATGGGTTTATAAAGAATAGTCTTGGAAATAAAAAAAGTAAGTGAGGGCATAAAGGGAACAAAAGTGTCATTCCGATTGCCCAAACAAGCAGGAATTGGATTACCACCTATATCTAAGGAATCCAATTCCATCAATACAAGGAATTGAATTCCAAAATTTGTGTGGGCCCCTGCTTTTTTGATTTCTTTGTATTTAGTAAACATTGGAGTACTCCGTAATTGGAATTCAATTCCACATTTTCATTTCGATTACGGATACGTAAACACGTCCTTAGAGGTTGTAAGAAACGACATGAAATGAAATAAGTACGTTAATCAATACTTAAATAATAATTCAAGCATCAACATCCACATCATTTGGTTTAAAAATTTGGTCTTCCTCTTCACCCAAAAAAAAAATATATATATATATATATATATATTCGTCTCCCTAGCATTACTGTTTTTCGAATGCGACAACGGCAAGTTTTTTTAAGGTTGACATAGAACGGATCGACTTTTATGGTTTGTTTACGTAACCATAATTAAAAGAGGAGTGGTAAGCTTATATCGGTATAAATTTTTGAGTCACGGGGTTATTAATTTATTAATGTTGTAACACGTACATTTATTAATTAAATATTATATTAGAAGTCTAATGAGTGTGTAGTTTATCCATCCATATTAGAACATGTGAATTAGTAAAATTATGCTAACGGTTGTTCAAAATCTTTTAGTCTCACGCGAGACTTATTCGAATTTACAGTCTGAATTGCTAACATTTGATTAACATTAACTGATTTCTTTTTGCAAAGTACCAAGGCCTTGTTTGGTGACAATTATTTAATTGAAATGGACAATTCACTAGATTCATTTTGTATTGATTGAAGTGGCGGATCCAGAAAATAATATTATGGGGGTTAATAAAAATAGCGCGCGCAGGGCGCAAATATTTTTTTTACCAGAAATAGTATGCATATCGCCATTTCATCTAGTTTTGCTAGCCCTAAAGTCATTTGAAAAGGCATATTGCACACCTATTAATGTATGCAAGGGGCAGCACTCAAGGTATCCATAGACATTCACCGAGTCTTGGTAGGCCTGAAGTTAGTTGGAGGGCATGTATGAAATCAACTCTAATCTTGAAAAGAGCAGCACCGAAGGTATCCATGAATATTTACCGAAGTTCGGAAGATCAGCACCTAAGGTATTAATAGACGTTCATCGAAGTTCGAGAGGTCAGCTAACCCCCCCTTGCCCCTCAATGCAACCGCCACTAATTGACTGAAGGAATAACTTCGAAATATTGTATTAATTGAAGGTAAAAGTAAATTAGCCAGTAAGTAAACGCATCCCTTCCAATAAAGATTGAAAATAATAAGCTTAGTTCATGACTATTCCATCTTCTAATTCAACATACATATACACTCCAAAAGCCCTAGAGAGAGAATTTATATAGTAAGTCCAAAGAAAACTAATTTTAGGATTTGAATTTAAGCAGTAAAAAGTAAAAAACAAGAGGGCTACTTATGGAAAACTATTTTATCCAACTCATGACACTGAATCATCTTCATATAAAATGTAGCCTCCAAAACTTCTTGTATCACACTAACAGGAGCATAGCTAAGAGTATGGCTCTGAAGAATCCTTGACTGCTTGCTGTCGAAGGAATGAGCTTTAAGATACGTCTCTAGGGCTGCGATGGTCTGGGGGATGCCGGAGGCTTGAAATCCGGATACTGCAACCATTAAAAAACATGAAAGAAAGCAAGATTTGGTAAGTTCTTGCACAAACTAATTAATCGTGAGGGTGATGATATATATACATTGTACACACACAAAATTCGAGCAGAAAGTAAAGTGAGGATTTACATAAGGGAATGGGGAAAGTGGTTTCGAAATCCCCGGAAGTGATTCTGCTTTAACTTCTGGTTTTGGTACTGAATTTGGTTCCTGTGTCGCTTCTGCAGCTGCTTCAACTTTTGGTTCGACCACAGCTTCTGCTTTCTGTACGGTATCACTAGCAGCAGTAGGCTCTGGAGTTGGTTCTGCAGGTGCAGGAAGAACCTTGCTAACAGTTACTGGCAGAAAAGCTATCCCGATTTGCTGAAATTCAAGACGGTCGAGGTTAAAATAACTAGTATGATGTAGCGATGTGGGAATCCGTTCAAAATGCTTTAACACATTTGTAGTCTTATACCTTTATGTCATCGACGAGGTCCTTTGGGGCAACCTTCGTGGTCAAGAACTTATCAACTTGTTGTAGAGTTTCTTTTCGATCCTGTCATAAAAAGTTACTTAGGTTACGTGAATGAAGTTAAATGCTAATCCACGGGTTGAGAATGGAGCAAGTTTTCAAGGCCGCGAAGATTAAGAATGTTTATGATGAGTAGACCTCCATATTCATGACGAGTTAGACATGTTTCACAGGAATAACGAAGAGGGAAAATGCCATAATATAACCGTATGCTATTAACTTTTGGCCACTGCGCATTATTTAAGAGACGAACGATATTAACCCTGATAAACATTCCATCAAAATAACTACTTTGAAGTATAAAAAAGAATGTGAGACACACCTCGGCAAAAAGGAATTTCGTGCTCACAAACTGAACTAGTGCAACCGAGCCTAAAAGCTGGAGGATTGTTTCTACCTGAAAATATAGAGTGCAACAGTCAGTTCGAAAGATCTTCAAGAAGGATACATGTTACACCAAAAGGAAAACAAAAGATAGATCACAATGCAACGGACTTTACCTCAGTATAAGCCAAGAAACCCAATCCGGTTGCTGCAGCAACCCCAAGGGAAAGAGACAAGGCACCCGATCCCTCCTGTATATAAATACCACATAGCTCTTTAAGAACCGTCCTAAAATCAAAAATCTTCGAAGAGAATCATAAACGAGAAAATCAATCACCGAAAACTGATAATTAACAGATTTCCACCATAGTACACACCAACAGCTTTCTTATCCCATCTTGAAGAATTATGAATTATGGTAGCGAGATGTACTAAACTTTTGGTCTATGACTTCCACCCATGTTCACTAACCTTGCCATTCATCCATCTAACATTTCTACTAAACTTTGTAGACTATCCAACGTCTTATATTTGTGTTCAATACATAAACAGCAATATAACATCCCTCTTGAAATGTACGAACCAAATAGCACTCTATCATTCAACAAGAAAATAGTTTTTCACACGTGAATAATAATCAACAAATGAAAGTGAAGAAAATTACTCCAACTGCACCACTAAGAGCATCTGCTAAATTTCCAAAATCAAGACTCAGTCCTTTCGGTGGTGGTGTCCAAGGAAGACCGCTGTTCTGCAAAATGATAATCCACGTCAAGTATTAAAGCTCGGCAAGACTTTTATGGAAACAAAGACTAGCCGTGGAAGGAGAAATGGGACTAACCACCCATCCTCGTGGTCCTTCCGCACCATCTTTAATAGCATAAGCAGCTTTGAACCCATTTACAGCGACTAATTCTGCAACCAGCTCAGAGTTCCCATCAAATCTGGCTTCCATCAGAAAGTTTGCAGGATTAGCTTCACATGTTGGCTTTTGGAATAACACAAATCCAGTCCCATATTACCAGGTTTGTCACAAAATCACAAGCATTGTGAAAAATGAATGTCAAGGAAAGGACATTAAATCGGAATCCACTTTACGGTAAACTATAAATGGAAATGGCAACAAGCTTATTTTCCTGTCTCATTTATCTTCTATATGAAGGTACTCAATTAAGCTTGCTTCCGCCCCTTTCACAGCACCGATTACAAGCATTGTCTTCTATATTTTTGAACTAACATATCACAATTTGTATGAAATTATATGAAAACCAACGTCTTTTAAGTATTAACTGAGTTCTATCGTGTGGATTATCTACTCCATTGTTTCTTCTCCAAACTAAATGGTAATGTGAATTGAAATTTTCTTTCGCCGTGGAAATAGTGATCCCTACATAAGCCAATTGCACAATGTGCACACTCTAAGGTGATCTCAATTCTACGCACCTGATAGCAGCTCGTGATTATCAACAACTGCTTCGAAATAAGCTCAGAAATTGACGACTCATTATTCATAAAACAATGAGGAAATGAAAACTAAAGAATTGGGTTAACAATTTACTTATCTAGGATGAACAATGTGGTATTTTCTGGCTCCTTGAACTTCAAAGAAAGCTTCTTCAAGAACCCCGGCTTATCTTCACGTTTGTAAACAATGGACACCGCCTTCTTCCCCAAACCCTTGACATCCGGAGTACCAACCTGCCTAAACTCCGCGGGAGGTCTTATATCAAGCAACTGAGCATTGGCATCCTCACCCAATTTTGCATAAGCACTTCTTGCAGAGTCAACACCAAACGGCTTAGGAGGCTTCAGAACCTGAGACAGAACCAATGGAACCGCCAAAACCGCAAAACCACCAGCTATAACTGCAGGATTATCGGTCACAAAACTTATAACATTGTCAAGAACCCCACCACCTACTTCCAAGTCTCCACCTCCACCACTCACAAACTGCCCCAATGCTTCCTCATATGTCAAAGCCTTGGCAAACCCGGCATTGAAAACCGAAGATAAGAGCAGCAAACCGCCATGGAAACTCCGAGATGAAGACTCTTGTGAAGCTCTCAAACTTGTGGGATTTGAGAATTTGGGAACGGAAATGGAGGGCAGTGATGGGATTTTTTTTCTGTCACCAAGAAGTGATCTTATGGGGGTCAAGCTTGCTGCATGGAGGGCCTCCATGGCATAATTCTAGAGGGGGATTCTAGTGAGAGAAACAGAGAAAAAGACTCTTTTGGGGCTCTCAGAATATTGATGGAAAATCGTGAGCCACAATGAGAGGATTGAAGTTTTTTGTGCAGGATTTTTTTGTTTCTTCTAAGGATGATGCAGGGCTTTACAAGCCTTAGCTTCAGTGGGTGCAATTTGGCCGGTGCCTTTTCCGTGCAGGGTGGCGCCGACGTGTCATGCAGGATGAGAGGTTGCCCATTGAGGGATTGACACGTGGCAAGTATGGATTGCGAGGTTGTTGATCTCTTTATGTTGTTTGATTGCTGGGATGATGACTTGGGGTTGCAATTAATGTGTGGCTGAGAAAAGAGTCGGTGGAAGTGCTGAGAAACTTTGCGGGTGCAGTACAGACTACAGTACTTGGTGGCCGTTGGAGGATTTCCGAACAACTTTCATACAACTTAGACGGAACTGTAGTGGCATTGAAAAAATTGAAGTATTTATTGATTTGCCCTCCGAATTTGTATACAGCTGCCAATTTTTCTCTTGAACTGTGATTTTAACCGATTACCCGTAACCTTTTATAATTGACTAATTTCTCCCATTGAACTTTATCTTTAACCGACTATCCCGTAAATTTTTATAAATAGCTAATTTCTCCCACAACGTTAAATTTTAAAAAATTTCATCTAATTTTCATTCATTCAATCCATCTAATTTTCCATTCTTTTTGCCACATACACTTGTTATGTGTTGCTTGTTCGACCAAAATGGATGGAAAATTAGATGAAATTTTTTAAAATCTAGCATTAGGAGGAGAATTGCATATTTATAAAAGTTTAGAGAGATAATCGACTAAAATTAAAGTTCAAGAGAAAAATCCGCTAATTATAAAAGTTTAGGAAGATGGTTAAAATTAAAGTTCACATCTATACAAGTTTGGAGATCAAATCGACAAATAAACCAAAATTAAAACACATGACAAGTTTGGCAATCAGTTTTAACTTCCGACACTTTAAATTAAAAATGAAAATCACTATCCTTTTGATCTATAAACTTAAATCATCCAACCAACCAATGGCGCCAAAAAAGAAAGGAAAAAACCAAGCTCGATCTATTAGATGTAGCTTCTAAAATATTCGGGCAGTTCGGTTTGGTTCATGGAATGAACATTTTTTCTTTTTCTTTCAAATAACGCCACCGCGTTTCCTCCCCCTCCCGGCATATATATCAAAAACAAGTTCCCATGACCTTCGAAGAACGAAACATAAATGATAGATCGAATTCTTGAAATGTGTTATATTTCTTGAGATGTAGGACCCGTTATAGACGAATTCTTCAAATTATTGTCACCCCTAACAAAAATTTTTAGATTGAGCACATGCTCAAAATTAAAAAAAAATTGGTTGCAGGTAGAAGATCAAATGAGGACTGGTTTACAGAAGATCGAAAAAGAAATCCAGACCTTGCCCAATTTCCCATATCGAGATGCCGCATCCCCAGTAGCGACCTACCTCTAGCCGCACGGAAATTGACATCGGCGACGGATAGAACACGGCGTGGTAGTTATTTTCATCGTCGGAGTAATAGAACAAATGTTCTGCACTGTTCTTTTCCCATTGCAACTGGGGCTTGTGCTTCTCCAACAAGGACAGGTAATCCCTTCCAGTGATAGCACCACCACCCGGACCTGCATTTTCGACGACATTAAAGCACTCTCCCTAAGTTGAGGAACTGCTAGAGAATTCATTCACGTTCAAGATATAAAAAAAAAAACTCCAAGAGATGTCCTCGTAAATGAATTAACAAGGATTTGGAAAGTCGGAGACAATAACAGACAGATACTTGATAAACTACTCAAATGTACAATGTTAAGCTGATCGATCCAGACCGCGTAAAGTTGTCATACAAGAATTGGTAAGTTTATTTATTCACCTAAGTTCACTCCCCATGGGTTATAACGAACGAGAAATCATAAATCAGATAGAGATTTTCCAATGGCAATCAACAGCAAAAATTGTACAAATAGGAAGAACCAGGAAAATACCTCCTTTGAGGAGGAAATCATTGCCGTAGAAATTGATGCCAAGAAATATTCTGCGAGCTCGAGCACAATCTTCATCGGTACCAAGGAGCAGCCACAGGGTGGAATGAATCCACTTCAAAGGTGCATTGGGACCTGGATTATGGGGCCCAGAGAAATCATACGTCATAAGTGAGAACCCATCCACAGCATCATCCAAGCTTCGAAGATCTTTTGGTCCAAAATCATGCGGTTGGAGCTTCTCTGATTGTGGTGGACCTATAACATAGACTAATTGCAACCGTTGCTTATCATTCTTCTCTAAGCTCACACCATGTAGTGCATCTCCAAGCTCTTGAATAAACTGCAATGCCTGCACGGGCAGAACAACAAAGATCCACAGATGTTATATAATTTGAGGAGAAGTATGGTATCACTTTCTAGAAAACAGCACCATTGAATGGCCACAAACTAAGTTCAATAGGAAACATCTACACCTCCGAACAATAATGACTTTCAGCAAACTTGGATTTAGGTATGAAGAAGGCAAGTGCTTGCTGTATTTGGTAACAAAGTCCGATTCAAAGATTTCATAAGCAAGCTAATACAATTTTGTATATCCTTCTTCTTTGTATTGAGGCAAATATAATAAACAGTTGCTTCTCAAAATAGCAAATGACGTTCGAATTTGGAATATTGCAGTTACAGTTGTTCGAAGTCCTGACACTTCAAAATAGGTGAAAATTATTTACTTAACTTGTGAAAGGTAGAAAAGTATTTTGAACAGACAACAAACAGAAGTTTTCCCAAATTCCGCATGAAAGTTAGTATTGTCATCATTTGCCTAGTTGGATCATGCAAAATTAGTACATTACCATATTCCGCATGCTTGGATCATGCAAAATTCTGAACGCTGCCCACCTTGACCAAGATTCCAGCACAATACCATCATATCCCATCTCCCTGATCAAAGAAAAAGCACCCCCCACAAAATTAGTACTTTATCTGCATTAGATTTATAATGACCAAAGTTTTGGTACAGACTGCATAAATCATTAAATAATAAACAAGTCCAACAAGATCAGAAGCCAAATGGGTAGATACATAATATCTTATTAAAACAAACAGACAAACAAACAAAAAGTAGTCAAGATCGGAGGCCTACTTGCACTCGTTCACTATAAGATTAATAGCTTTACTCCTCTGCTTCTTCTTTGTAAGCAGCTCTGCTGGAAATGCTTCCAGAACGACTCTAGGCAATACCTACATTATAGAGGTGTGCTACAGGTGAGACTACTATCAATCCAGATCAAATCAAAAGCGTGCCTCAACTGCATATAAAAGCACAGGAAATTTATCTACAACTTATCAAAAAGAATTTAAATTGTTTCTAAGTTGACAAAGTGTTGAAGAGACCTCTCATATTTTATTCCATGACTTCCCAGATTCGATTGTGAACATTTGATGTCACAGCTGTTCAATATTAATCAAATGCGAAAAGTAGTGAGAAGGGGATTAAAGAGTTCTTCTTCATACCCTAGCATCGCCTGCCATCCTAATGTCTGAGATCCATCCCGTATCAGCATTATGCCTACCTTCCAGAATTAAGCTATTGCCCTGGCTGTTGACAAAATGAGTGAAATAGTGAAAACTTATCCACAAATAAAATAGCAGCATAATTCTTAATTATAGCTTAATTTTCATAAATCTACATCTATCTTAATCTTAATAGATATTCCTACTACTTCTTGAGGTTGAAGGTCATAAATGGGAGCATCAATTACCATCCCCCCACAACAAAAAAGTAATCATAATGGTAAGTTTGATTCGACTCCAAATTTATTTAGCAGACAGTTCTAATCTGGAGTTTTGAAAAAAGACACCTCAATGGTCACGTCTATAAGCAAATAACTAAGCAGAGTTTTGACAGTTACCATCTGCTTATTTGGGCAGTCATAACTCTTTAAAAACATGGTGCAAAACAGAACCCCAACTACTCATATCACTTTGTCCAACAACGAAAACAGGGAGCATACCTCTTTAAGTCATACCAAATTGGAGATAAATGAGTAAACTTGGAGTTGAACCTTTTTGCCATATCATAGCCCTTGGAATTCCTGTATAATTTGAAATATGAGGAGTTCGCAAAAATTTCAAGCTAAGTAATGCAAATACGTCTAAATACGATTATATGAGCAACCAAGCTAAAGAAATTACTAACCAAATACTTGGTTATTATACAACACCAAACTTTAAAACGAAAAACATTACATAATCATATTAGATCCACCAAGCTATGTTAAACCAAAAGACCAGCACTTTGTACCGAAGACTGACTAATGGACCGGTTCAGACTCCACTACATTCTTTACTATAATTCCGTTGCCAAATGAATCCCCCAAATTTTACATGTACTTCGATGCCAAGTCCTTTTTTTCTCATATTCGAAACATTAACTATAATTCTCGTTGTATTTCGTTCAAATCCAGACAGTGTATTAGAAACTAATACAATCCCATAGTTTATTTATATCCAAACAGATCGTAAGATATGACATACCATGGAGTAATGTAGGCCAATACAGGATATTCAAAGTGCCTCCTACTCGTATTTTCGGAAACCTTTCCATTTTCCTGAATTTTTTCAAAACACATCATCAATAAAAACACAGTAAGATCATAAAATTGGTATAAACACTAAAGTTTCTTATCATTTCGTGCATTTCGCTACAACTTCAATTTGTCTTAATTTCCCCGCATTTTCCCGGCAACCAAACAGGCCAAATGCAGAACACAATAAATAATCTGGTTAAAGAATCAGTATGGAGGGTACTTGCAGTGAGGATCTCTTGGTAATTCACATCACGCTTCACGATTCCTCGCTCGTGGACGGGGTAGGAATCCGCCAGGTTTGCCGTCGGAGCATATTTGATGCGGTACGCGAGCACGCCGGTCGCTACAGCGACGCAGAAGAATAGAAATGCAGTGATTGTGTGCTTCCGGATTGCGCTGCAGAACTGGTCCGGCGGTTCGACTCGATCGTAGCCGCGTTTCGCACTCGGGGCGACTCGGCGCTCTCTTTTCTTGGCCATTTTTATGTCGAAAGGCGGGGAATGTTTAACGGACTTTTACAGACACACGAGAAAGATTG